CTCGTCTCGTTTCTCTCGCGTCTCGCGGCATCACTACAATAGAAAGAGGGCTTGAAAATTTTCTTAGTTGACAAGTTGTGTATTTTGATAACTTCTTCCCAGAGAATTGATGCCAGATGGGGAAGGAACAGAAAAATTCATAAAAGTCAAGCGGGAGAGATGAGTGGAGCGAGTGGAGAGACGACTAGAGTGATGGTAGGAGGTAAGCGAAAGGGCCAAATGGAGAGATTACAAATCTTGATTACAAGACTGTAAGACCCTAGCCATCGACTGACTTGTCTTTTGCGTTTGAATCTCCCTGCACGTCTCCCCATTTGACCCTTCTAGGAATTCACTTTTCTCACCCGTTTGACCTTTGTAATCTCAACCCTTTCGCTTGACCCTTTTCGTCACTCCACATTCGTTCCATCCAATTTAACAGAAGAATTTCGGGGAGAAACCCATGAGCAACTTCAGGATTGAACTGTCTTCTCTAACAAGTTCGCAATTTCCTTAGAAATGTCGCAAAAATGTAAAAACTCACCCGGTTCATTCTGTTACGTTTGTGCACAATTCATCCCTACATCACAGAGGAGAAATATCACCCCTGCTGTGAAGGAAGCCTATGAGATCGTGTTCAGCCGATCCATGTGTCACCAGGACAAACCTTGGACTCCATCAATGGGCTGCTGCTCTTGTCGCGTCCTGCTACAGGTATCAGTGAAAACCAGGGAGATGAAACTTGCGTTCAACGTCCCAGCGATATGGAGAGAATAGTATGATCACATCACAGACTGTTATTTTTGCTTGACAAACACATACGGATATTCTCGTAAAAATAAGAAGACTCCAATATCCAACCGTAAAATCATTGGATCCACCATCATTTTCGGCGATGGTACCTGTATTTTAAGGGAAGAAGGATACAACATCGGTGGACATACCTGTTCCTGCAGAAGCACCTGTGTACACCGACACAGACGACACAGAAGACATTTCCAAAAACGAAAATTACATAGAAGAAGTACCACCGGTGTTGGTGAAACCAGGTCTCATGACCCAAGGGCAGCTGAATGATCTTGCTAGGGACTTGAACCTCACAAAGGGAAGATCGGAGTACATGGGTTCGGTTCTCAAAGAATTCAACGTCTTAGAACCTAGGGTTACTACCAGCCATTTCCGTCATCGAGATCAGACCTTTCGTGAGTATTTCGTGGAAGAGGAAGAGCTTTTCTATTGCTCCAATGTGGATGGCCTTATGAAAAGTCTGAGGCATGATCATCATCCAGAGGCTTGGCGCCTCTTCATCGATTCCTCTCGCACCAGTTTAAAGCTGTACTGCTTCACATTGGCAACATTTACCCTTCTGTGCCTGTTGCGTACTCTACGTCATTGGGAGAGAACCATGCAGACGTGCAACTCCTCCTTGATGAGATTCAGTACAGGGAATACATGTGGCTCATCTGTGCGGATCTGAAGATGGTCGCACTCGTCATGGGGATGCAACTGGGATTCACAAAATACAGCTGCTTTCTATGCCATTGGGACAGTCGGGACAAAGAGAACCATTATAAAATTAAAGAGTGGCCGCGACCCGATGAATTCATCCCTGGTAATCAGAATATTGTTGGGGAGCGATTCACTGAATCAGAGAAAATCTGTTTACTCCCTTTGCGCATAAAACTTGGACTTATATCGAGCTTCGTGAAAAGACTCCAGACGGACGGACCAGCATTTGCCTACTTAAAAACTTTCTTTCCAAAATTGAGTGACGCCAAAATTAAAGCAGGAGTTTTTGTTGGTCCACAAATCCGCAAGTTAATTGAAAATGATAAAGATTTCGAGAAAACTCTGAATCAGATTGAGCTGAAAACATGGCGCTCACTGAAGAAGGTCTTGTCTGAGTTCCTTGGAAGCCGTCGTTCATCACACTACCGACGAATTGTGCAACAGATGCTTGTGAATTTTCAGAAAATGGGGATTAACATGTCTCTGAAAATTCACTTCTTACATTCCCATCTAGATTTTTTTCCGGAGAAACTAGTCGACGTCAGCGATGAACACGGAGAACGATTCCACCAGGACATCGCGACAATGGAAAAACGATATCAAGAAAAGTCCATACTCCATATGTTGGAAGATTATTGCTGGAGTTTAATGAGCGATGATGATACGGAGCACAAACGCAAATCCTACAGGATCTGTTTTCAGAACGCTGAAACTGTAAAACGACGAAAAACTTGTTGATGCCAATTTTTCATATTCAATGTTCAAAACTCGTTTTTTCTTCTTCTGTGATTAAATGCAAAACCCCTTTGCTCAACTCTTATCCTTGACTTTACTCTTATTCTTTACATTGATGCTTACTTTTACTTTTACTTATGCTTTATAGCTAGTTTTGAAACTTCTCCCTAACGTACTCTCAAATTCTATCCTGATGGTACACTAGCATTCATCACTCTGATGCGATTTTGATGAATTTTGATGGGTCACCGTGAATACCTGAGGCTTCATTTGATGAAATACATACAAAAGTATTCATTTCTTTATGAGAGAATTTATTTTCGAGTAATAAATCGAATTACATACAAAAAATGAAGTTAGAGACATACAAACTATGAATAGAAATCCCAAAATAGATATTGTTGATAGAAATTAGGTTCAGAAAAAGGGAAAATGTGGGAAGTAAGTCGGCATGTCTGGTGAACCAATCCAGAGGATATAAACTATGAGGAACATGGAACTGTCATCCTGGAGGCTTCGTGGGTCCTCATCGTATTTATGCAGTAAGACCTTATGATGAATAAAACAGTAAATGGACGCAAATGTGGGTGTGAGCAATCCTCCAATAGGTGATAGAAAGAAAATACCTCGCATTTCACGTTTTAGCCTCCCAATGGTAGTTCCCGAATTCACAATTTTCCTCTTAAAAGGCGGCCTATATCACTTCAACCTGAGAAGTCCACTCAAAAACCTTCTCACAGTTCATTTTTATAACCTTGAGCCTTTAAAAAAATAATCACGTGCTTATTGAATAAATTCCAGGGGGTTAGAAATATATACGAAGCCAACCTCCGAGAGTTCACGTAATCAACAGTTAATTCAACCAAATTTATGAATTTTAGGATTTTTTTGCAGCGAAATCACGTCGCGGAATTGGAAGAGGTTTATACTAACGGATAAAATAATTTTTCAACTATACTCTGCAATTTTTTTCCATTCAATTCTGTCGAAAATTCATTGAATTAGAATTTTTTGAAAAACTTCATTTTTGACAAATTTCACAACTTTAACATTTTTTTTTCTAAAACCTGACGTGCTACAGGAATTTTACAAAAACCATTGGATTCATTGTGCAAAAATCTATAAGTGGTGTTAATTTCACCTTTGGTAAAAAACTTGACCTTATTTTGTTGTTCCGTGTAATAGATTACACTTTTGGAATCCCACCAATTACACATTTTTTTGCCATGAATGTTCGGTTCTGCAGTACTCGTTGAAAGCTTCCCCCGGATGAAACCACGACTTTCGCCTCTTAGGTTTGTGGTAAAATATTCACTTTTCATCCCCAGTCATAATTTTATGTAAAAAGCCTTTTTGTTTGAATGTCGTCAGTACGCACATGGCGATTTCACTGCGTTGACTTTTGTTTTCTGAGGTAAGTTGATAGGGCACCCAACGACCTTCCTTCTGTATCCTCCCAATTCTTTTTGAACGCCTCGAAATAGCTAATTGAGTCACTCCGAGAGTTTCAGATAGCTCCTGTTGTGTTTGACAGGGATTTTCATTGAGTAGGTTGTCCAACTCGTCCTCACCTTTTTTCGTTGCCCAGGACGTTCTTCATCCTGGAGATCAAAATTTCCATCCCGAAATTGTTTAAACCACTTTTTACATGTCTTCTAAGATACAGCACCCTCTCTCAAGATCGACCAAATCATTTCTTGTGCTTCTGCAGTAGTTTTCCCAAGTTAGAAGGTGAAAAGAAGGGCGTGCCTCAAGTGCTGCTTTGAGGTTGTGTTAATCGGACCACAATCGGACTTGAATGGTTTGATAGCTCACAGATGGCGTTTCAAATAGGGGTTCTGATCAACTTGATCTAGGGACCGAAAATTAAGTCATACACCTAATAACTCACCAATGATATCATCCCCCCGAGCACATACCGCAACCACTTAATGGCGGGTGCTGGACTTCAAGAACCTTCTGCAATCGTGCTGTCAACTAGTGGCGGTTAGCCCAGAATCATGACCATCCCCCATGAGTCATCGATCACGACATCACCATGACTGAGTGATGACATCATTCACATGACTCATCGATTACGTCATCCTTCTGCAAGCGTGGCGCCACCTGGTGGCGGGCGCTTGGCTTGATCCACAAAATCCCCTGTTCATCAACTATAGTCGTAAAGCATTTTCTCGTACACATAACCGTATATGACTTTGTTCGTTATACTCTCGATTTTTTTAGCGAGATTAGAATGCATAAGTTTCTGGACAGATAATTGGGTGGTTTGCATCTGCGCGTTCCTTACGGTTGGCAACAGTCCGCTCAAGGGACTACTCGGAACGAATGTGCTAGGTTATATGGAACACATCTGCAGTGTTACCGTATGGTTATTAGAGATTAGACCAGCAAAAGTGAAGTGTAAAATTGAATGAAATATTGCTTACAATATTCATTAATAAAATCTGATATTCATTAAAAAAATCCGAAAAAGTGTGGGGATGGCAAGATTTTCCGCAAAACTGCAATCTTGCTTGAAAAAACGCTGCTCAATTGAGCAAAGTACTTGGACATCTTTGAAAACAAAAATCTCATGCAATTCAATCACATAAAATTAAATAATGAATTATATTCAATGGAAGAAAATGATGTGCAAAATTACTATTCACAAGCATAATGTCAATTTATAAGCAAAAATAACTATACCATAGATGACAGAAGTTATTTCCGACTTGTTTATAGTTACGCGCATGCTAAAAAGGTCAAGACTACATTTTCCTTCATGCATTGCTTACGTGATTAGATCCATCTGACCACAGTCCATAGTTCTCCATGATTTCAATGAATTCGCGGCAGAATCTGGTACTGACAATGGGGAACCAAAAAACATCAGTGCAGGGCTGAAAGTAATTCCAAAAATATTTAAGGTCATCTGGATCGGGATGACATATCCATAAGATGTTCAATGTGGATATATTCCAGGAAGTGAGATTGGAGAAGTACTCGAATTCAGACAGGCTACGTGTTCATAAGTCGCTGCCTGCAGCCGTTATGGCAAAAAATATTATTCGGCACACGGCCTAAAACAACATTATGTCTAAATGCACTATTATATCTTGTGAGATTTGTGCTTCCAAATTCAATTCAACTCATTTGTTTTTCAGTAGATAGAACATGCTTTCAATCAATAATTGAAGGCAAATAAACAGTGCTCTTCCAAGTTTTGTATTTCTACTGACCTTTACTGAATTATGCAATATTTTCCAACTTAATTTGTTTCTTCTATTTAGGTTTTTCGTTGGTTTTCATGAGAATTGTATTCTTTCAAGAGGTGTATTGATTTTCTTTCAGGAACTTCGGACCAAAATATTTAATCGATGAAAGTTTTTATTGAAAAATTGGTCTTTATTATTATTTTTCCAAAATATTATCAACATTTCCAAAATGATCACAAAATTGTTTCGTGTTCTTCACATCTCACAGTAACTTAATTCAGAGCATTTTTTTCCATGCAATTGAAAACATTTTCTCTTGTCCATCGAAGAAATATACATATTTTCATTTCTAATGAAACTATTCATGGACATTAGGATACTCGTTAAGGTACCTGTTCCGGAATTTTTTATGGGCGGCCCCCTCAAACACTTGAACTACATTTTAAGAAATCCTCTTAAAATTTCAGCTCTCTGTCTCAATTCTAAAACGCCCCCCAAGAGCTTTGTTTTTTCCATAAGAATAATACGGAAATATGGAAATACGAATCACAGGTTTTTTTCCCATGAAAATAATTATACTATTGTATGATGTGAACAAAAAACGAAAAGTTTCCGTCAACAGTAGTTCATTTACTCAGTAATTTTTCATGACTATAAAATGTTTAGTGACATAAACAGGGAGAAGGGGAAAATCGATTCGAATTTTCTAGGAAAGTCGCATGTTATTCTTATGGAAAAAAACAAGAATTGACATAGGAAGCTTAAATTTTGAGAGGTTTTTTTAACATCTATATTATCCCCTGGGCTATTCTACTCGGTCAACCTTAGATATTTTTTTAAGGCATAAATTACATGGAAAGTGGGATGCTATATGCTATCCATCGACTTTCCGGACCTCTATACGAGGGAAATAATTGAATAATCATCAATGCACAAATAAAAAAATTCGGAGGCACACGGGCTCGAACACAAGTGGGGTATGATCCCACATCTTCTGCTTGCCGGACAGGTGCTCTGCCAATTGAACTATTGTGGCCCCCCATGGAAAAAAAAATATGTCTATAAATCGGTCAAAATATATGAGACATATATCTCATATATTTTATATATGAATGATATACGAATCGTATACTAGTATATATATATATATATATATATATATATATATTAATATATGACATTTATATGACGATATATAACATTTATATCTTTGATAAACGTTTTCAGGCATCGTACACATGTGATTATATGAGCAATATTATTCAATTATTCATTCATTCATTCCTTTTAAGTGTAAATATCTTCCGAATGATGATAAAAAATACCGACCTTTGGTAAATACCTGATTAGAAAAATGAATAAGATCACTTAAAAACTAACTAAATGTGCTTGTAATCATTATGTGTAGAGGTATCTGAAAATAGTGGTCTTCGTGGCTGCGTTATTTTCCGAGTTTCAATAGTGTACACGTAGCATTTGCACATTTTGGAAATCAATGGATAAAATATGAATATTCAACGAATGAGCATTTTGATAAATGGAAAGAACACATCGCATAAGAGTTGAAATTTTTTATTGAGAGTATAAACTTAACTCATAAATGAGCCCTTATTCTATTGTACTCATGAACAGGTAAAAATTATTCTTATTATGTTTGTGTATTAGGGGTTAGAGCAACGTGAGTCAAGCCACAAATATAATAAAAAAAAAAAATCTTAATATTCGATTTTAAAAAATTCCAAAAAAATTATTTATCCATGAAAAATCGTAAAAAACATCGTAATGACAAAAAATTTAGCAAAAATGAAAAACTTGGGGCAAAAACAGCTCGTCGTTCGAAACCGACCTATGGGTATCCTTAAGTCATAAGTTCACAATAATTTGGATGTCTACATGCTATCATTAACTCGCATTCTGCCATATCAATGAATACGACTTTCTCCTGAATAAAACCTACTGAAACTTCTGCTAAATGATCGATTTTACTTTTCAATACCGTTATATGGGTTAAACGTCTACCATGGACTAATGAACGATGATGCTTTTCAAAGTAATAGCCAATCGCATAACATTGAGATTCACCATGTTTATCAAATAGTACAAATCGGTTGATCTAAAAAATCTCTGAATGTTTGAGAATGACAAAGTAACTCTGGCACTTCGAAGGGCGAGTGTATTCGGTACTGTGAAAAACTTCTCGGTTCAAGATCATTCGATTGTAATAGCTCACAAGTTTTTTGGAATCTATTTGAACATTAATTCGATTCAGAGCAAGATAGTCTCTCCTTTTGAGTGTCGCTATTTTCGGCCTTCCCAGGAGGGAACCTTGAGTAACTGTATGTGACTTTGGGGTAAGTCTTTTTGTGCAACAATTTATCCACATAGATTCGTTGTTGTTATGTTAAAGAGTCTACACACAAATCGTACAACTTATGAACAACCATTTGCAGTCGAAATGAGCTGAATATCTGTAAAGATGGCGTATTAGAACTATGAACGAACTGGAGCAATGTTTGATAGTAATTTTCATATCCAAATGCACTGTGCGTCCACAGGGGACCCCAATCTAACACACTTTGAGGTAGATGAGTCAGTAAATGAATATTATATGAGAGATGTTGTTTCCCATATAGTGTTTCGACTCCTCGGACAAATTGAAAGAGGCACTGTTTAGCATAAAAAACATCTGCTGGCATGATCGAGCTACTTGTCAAAATAGATATAGCATCCACCAAGAGGGCCCAATGTTGAATATATCTGCTGGGTAAAACACGTTTCATAACTGGAATACTGTAGAATAGTAAAAAAATCATCCACTCATGAGCTTTCCAGTGGCAACGATCTGACATTTTCCGTGGTGTTTGGGACACTTCCAAAGAGGGTTTGAACGACAGTAGTAAGTCATCCACCAGCCGCAACTGTCGACCACAGTAAAAAGGCTCGTTATGATTATTTGGATGAAACCAAACATTCGCCATTTGTTTCACTACCCCCAAACCGGTATTATGTTGCCATTCCACTGGTAAACCTTGAATGATGTCAAAATCTATTGCATCAAATAGAATGGATCGCCCTTGAATGCCCTTATCCAAAGTTTCTGCATGGATGAGAGTTTCTTCGTGAGTCCGAAGACCTTCTCCGAATGCGTTACCATTCTCGTCGATGGCATACACATTAACAGTTCCTAGGCCCTTCGGGATTCGTTCACCTGGATGTTTGCAGAAACCACACCCATACCTCCCGTTGAATTGAGTGCAGTTCCGTACTTCTGGTCTGGCAATTGAATCGCAAATACCTAAGAGTAATTGGCAATGTGTTCGATACAATTTCCCTTCATATGTATAGCAGAATCCGTTTTCTCTCAATTCATTGCACTCTGCCACGAAAGGAGTCAAGTACCCATTGATATCAGGAACTTTACCCCTGCCACAATACAAACTGCACAAGAACATTGTCACTGGACGTTTTTCGGGAGTCAGCTCGTTGATCGTAGCTAATACAGGGTGCATAGAATAATTAGAGCTGCTGAAAATTGGGACTCCATCAACACTAAAATTGAGAGATATCATATCTGCAGACACCTTCTGTTTATACATTTTACCATCGAAGATATCTTCAATGGCAAATGTCGATTCTTTGATTCGTGTTTTCGAATATAAAACATCATTTCCATGTCTGGAGAAGAATTCTCGCAACTGTGCTGCAAGGGAAAGACAAATGAAGACATTACCAGCATCCCAGTTTGCTTTCATGTTGACATCGCTTCCACAATTCATGCATGTTAGAATTCCAATTAGAACTTCTTCTTCTTCTTCATGTATGATCTTCTCTTGCTGACCGGCATATTTTCCACATGAACTACAAAAATGATGTATTGACAATGATGTTGACAAAGTTTCTATCACTTTTTGTAATTTGTATTTAGTTTGTGGGCGTTCTGGAGAATCACTCAAGGCTTCAATAGCTTCTGACATGTTTTCAGCCATGCTATAGGTTCCGTTGTGACGCATTTTAGTAGCTAGCATCATCAATACATGGATCAATTTTTTCCTGGAATATCCACGAAGTCCATCAATATTTTCAACATCTGGGGGTTTTAGTTCGTCTAGCTGAAGCTGCCTAGTGATGTTGATTTCAGGTGGATCTGGATTTGATTCACCATTGTCGAAGGCATCGCCTTCATGACATGGATTCACTTCCAGGGAACGTGTATTTGATGAATCTGAAGCTATGCTGGATGTACCGGGGGAACAAGAACCTTCCAACGTCTCGTCACTGATTGGAGCCATTTCATCCTAAGACCAGGAAATTTGTTTCAATTTTCAACTAATTCAAAGTAAAAGAAGATCAATGAAGTGAATGAATAAAAAAACGGGAATTATTGATGATTTCAAAGACTTCTTCTTACGTCATTGGCATCATTCCATTCAGATTGCTGTGTCTCAGTGGAATCTGAACTGGCCACTATTTCTTCGTGGTGTTGACTCGACTGGTTATAGATATCATCACTCAATTCATTCCCCTGCTCCTAGAACATTTCAATTGAAGATTCAACTATAAAATCATTTTGGTAGTTAAGGCGTATGGATTAATATGTGGTTGTCTTAACGTGCTATGCTCCCCTTTTCCGAATCAAAATGAAATTTTCCTATTTTATCCACTTAACCCTCGAATCTACAAATGATATTTCTATGTAAATTCTTGAACAATATCGAACAACAAGTCCTATATCCGTGGCTGACTCTGAATTCTAATGCAATGAAAAAAGAAAAAAAAACTTTCCTGAATCAGAGGGATGAAAAAATGAGACGATTTTTATGATCGAAAATAACGGAGAAAAATTAACCGAGACNGAAAAAATACTTTCCTGAATCAGAGGGATGAAAAAATGAGACGATTTTTATGATCGAAAATAACGGAGAAAAATCAACCGAGACTCATTCGGAGATCGTTTAGAAAATATTTCTCTCTAGTTCTAAAAATTCTCAGATATCAACAACACTCTGAATTATCCACATTTTAGCACCATCCCTGAGTAATTTTCGATGAGAAGGAGAAAAATTCATCGATTAAAAAGGTAGTTAGTTTTCTTCAATCACAAATTCACCACTCAGGGAACATTTCTTTGATTACGAATAAAATTGAGTAGCTGTGTGTATCATCGGTCCCACTTTTGGAGTGTTGCGTTATTGGACGGGGGTGAAAATATCTTCAAGGTCGTCACTAAACTTTAGTCATTATATTATGGTACATACCTGAATTTGATTTTCTAGCTGACGATGGAATCGACGGAGTAATGCTCCCGGCCGTTTCATCCTATAACAATGATAATTGATTGTTAATATCTATAAACATGAATATTTGTTATACCCGGAGATGGTACTGTGGATGAGTCTTACCTGCATTTGCTGATCCTACGATATTTAGTCCTTCTTGGCATGTCGTGTAATGTTGGATCAATCAGGTATCTTTTATAAGGACCTCGTTTATCTTTATTCGGAGCCATTCGTGGCCTCGGTCGCCGTTTTATCAATGAAGAGACGGGAACGAAATCATTCGTCTACTTTCAGGTTAGCAACTCTCTTTAGAACATGTCTCAAAGTCAAGATGGGAGAGAAAAAAAAGCTAGCCTCCAAAAAACAATATTCAATATCTACACACTGCGAGCAGATTTCATAACAACTCAAATTCACTAAATAGCTCAAATGATTGTCTCCATGTACAGATAATAAATAGATAAATCACATCTTTGATTCCTGTTTGCGTTGAACATTCACAATGGCTGACTTTCAATTATAATAACGCCTTCAATCATGTGGCATTGAGACTTGAATGGAAGACTTAATGGTTCAATTTTTATCAAAAACTACTTGACCAACATTGTAGTTGGTTGAGTCGCCGCGTGTAGATACCGCGTTTCGTTGTCTGAATAACGAAGGTGTTTAATGGCCACCACCAACGCCGCACCACGTGCCGTGAACACCATTCAATGAATTCGTGTTGACGCGGACGTTTTTCATATTGTTTTAGCAAAATAGACAGCAAAAGTCGGTTGACTATAACAAGTGTTGATCAAGTAAGTGTTTTTACCTGTTCTAATGTATTTTATTCAATCATGGTTAATACAAGAGTCAGATACCTATTAGTTTGTTATTACTCATCACGATGATGCAAAAAATGTGCAAAAACTGACAGATTAAAATTGTCTCGACCCATTTCCCGAAAACAAACGAGTATTTGCACCATTTTCATGATGTTTCTTCAATCCATGAATTGCTGAGTCTAAATTTTTACTTTGTTCAATAGAAATTATTCCCGTATTGAACATTAAAAAGAAATTATATGGGCTAAACTAACAGGAGGGGTTAGGAAAAGTTCTCAAGAAAGTCATTTTATGTTTCCAAAAAAAAAAGTTTATAACCATGGACAATAATTATAGTTAAATCTACAGAATGACAGATGTACAACACCCAAGATATGCTTTGGTCAAATGGCTTGGTGGTCAAGACAAAGGAAAGTACACACCTGATGTACCCATCGACTGGATTAAAGATTTTGATTACCATGAGTTTTTGTCTACTGACCCCGATGATGCAGAGTCATATGTTGTTGAGTGGCATGAGGGAAAAAAACCACTAGGAGGCTGGAACTGTTATAGTGAAGTGATTCAAGTGTCAGGTAATGCTTTCTGTATAATTTAATTTTGCTCGCATTATTTACACCCATTAAACAATTGGCTACTCTGATTCCCACAAATTTTATAGTTTTCTCGCATTTTTGCAAAAGGAAAAAATGATTCCGAATGCTTCAAACAGAATATTCCCTGAAAATTCAAGTTATTAGTTAATACCCGGAGAAAAAAAATAGATTTAGTATTTTGAGATATTTATTGAGAATCCTAGGATATTGGGTATTGGGAAAACTATGAAAATAATGATTCATTTTCACTTGATGTGTTTCGGAAATAAGTAGTGAAATGAAATGAGTGAAGTGAAATTATTTATTCTCATGATTCTTGGTCTGGTCAATTTAGCGAATGATCTAAAGGCGATCAACTGCGATTATTCATGATTTACAATGTAATTGTAGGAATTATCATATGTTTTCCATCTTTGAAGGAATTGGGAAGGTTGTGTCTTTGGCATTGTGAGTTCATCAATCATGTGAAAATTACGTGGTTCTGTTAAAAAACAATAGACATTTGATGCAATCGAGTCAATCACAATATCTATCCTCAAGATACTCATTTAACTAATCAATGAATGATCAATAATGTGAAATTAGTTTGGAAGATATTCGGAACAATAACAATGAACAACTGTCAGAATAAAATTGAAAATTTAATAAGTTTTAGAAAAATAGACAGATTTAAAAAAAATTCAAGTTATATCTTCCATCTCAATTGGCATTTACAGGTGAATTTATTCGTGTCCAATTTTATGAATCGTTGACAAAAGTTTATTCTGTGAATATTTTTGAATCTATCAATTTTAGATGAAAACGACAATCGACCTTTCTGTGATACGTAAAATTTCCCACAATAAAAGTGTCTTACGATTTTTTTCTACAATCACTCCTCACTGAGCTAATTGAAAAATTGATGAGAGATGTATGAAATAATCCCATACATCTCTCATACTTTCACACGCAACGTATTTTCCTAAGAAGGGGAAAAGTTCAAGAAATTCTTTTAGTAAGGGACAGAATTTTCTACACAAAAACTATTTTCATAAATTTCTCTGAACTCTTTTTTTCCTTGATATTAATTCGAACAGTAGTCTCCTGACAGCAATTCCAAGTCGCACATTCACGAGCCAAAAATAAAACTCCAATCTCGTGAATCCAAAAAATACATAACAAAAGAGAACTTAATGAATTTAAGTACCACCACATTGCAAATGTCTTGGAAGAGAATAAGTCATTCCAATGAATTGTTGAGCTCTATGTTAACTTCCTGATATAATATAAAATTTGGAGTCGCAAAAATATATTATTGATTTTGTTGTCCAACTCAGATCAGAAAGCAGTACTTGAACGACTTTTCAAAACACTGAAGTGTACTGCCTCTCCCAATCTCAAAATTCATCGTGAAGCTAAGAGTACCACCAAGCTAAAAGCTACCAGCCCTTTGTCTCCAACTTCAGATGAATCAAAATCTGGTGGTAGTGACAGAGATAGCTCAAGACATTGCGATATGTCTGACAATTCTGAGAAAGGGGTATTAATCAGTTTGAATACGTAATGATTATGTCATGTAATTCAATGAAAATGGGAGGAATATGATAATTATTTTTTGTTACAGAAACAAAGTTCCAAAATGATGGGAGACAGAGAGGAGGCCATTTCACAGCCAAGTGAGGATACCAATGGGTCAGGTCATGGGAAAGATTCCACAAAGGATAGTAATGGAAAGAAAAGAGAGCATCAGCGAGGGTCAACTGGAATTAAAACCAAGGTATTAATCAACACGTTATCGTGATATAATACAAGTCAATGAAAATCAAATACCTACGTTATAAAAATAATATTTTCACTGCAGAAATTGAAACTACATTATGTCAATACGATTGAGGAGGAGTTGGCCGACTTGTCTAGCGAGGAGGAGTTCATCGGTGAAACGCCTGCTAATAAGGTGGTAAGAGAATCCCCTTGAGAATGTTGAAAAATCAAAAATTTCTGAGAATATATGACAGTACCCCTCAAAAGTTAGATCCATCCCTGAATCAGCCAGTGAAATTCAGATACATATTTTGAACCTAATATCGGACAAAAAGTCAAATGATTTTGCTCGATAAGTCCCTGGATTTTCAGTCCATCAACTAATTTCTATAAACATCTCTAGTTGTGGGTTCTTAGCAGAAAAAAATACTCGAACCAAGAGGACAACCAGATTTTTCGTTCGATTGTAGTGAACACAAACTTTGCCATAACTCTAATTGATCATGACGATTCCATTGATTTATTCCTTTCACCATTTCTTTTATATTTTGGAAATAAAAGTCTTCCCAGTTTTTAAGGATACTCCATTCATGAATTTTTTGTTGCCTTTCGGTAATCCATTATTCAAAACTGCACTAATTCTAATTAATCCATTGGACTTGTGAGTAATTCATCCAAAAAATATGAAAATCCGAAATGAACAAAAATTATTGTCACTAGTCAGTACAACCAAAACAGCTGATCATCACTTCTGGAGCTATGAATGATTCTGATTTAAATAATGACCCTGAGCGTGAGAGACTCGAGACTTCAAAATACGGTAAAAGTGGAACTAAAGCCAGAATTTCAATACCCACACTCAATTCTTAATCCCAGAAGGGAAACATTGTAAGATATTATTACGTTTAGTATTTCCATTAGCTCGATAACCCCTTAAAAAAGAAGACATTCGCAGTTCCAAATGTACGCATTTTTCTTCATTACAGTTATCAAAAACCAGAGATTACAACAGTAGTAAGGAAAATCAGAATGAGAGTGAAAATCAGCAGGCACCACTCAATTTAATCATGAACAGTAATTTGTTTTGAATGAATATTACCGTCTCAATTGTTATAAAAAATAAGAATACTAACATCAAGATATTTTTGTAGCTCTCACAACTATGCAAAGGCAGATAAATGATCTCGCACAAAAAGAGAATGTGCCAATCAATGTGAACGTATCATCAGCTCACTTGAAGGACAGAGATAAGGAAGAGAAAAACGAGGTAAGTTCAGTCTTATTAATGAAAGCCTGAAACTTCACATTCATCAATCGATTGATGTGATTGCTGTTTCCATAGAATGTTGAGATTGGGACCAAAGGGAGTGGTGTCATTATAAAAAGAAGTCAGTGGTCCGATGCTGCTGCACAGGCTACTCCAACTTCGATGGCAACTTGCTTGGTTGACGCTCTTTTCTCCAAAAACATTTTATTAATTAGTAACTTGAAGGGCGGTGCACGTAAAGTGAAAGTTGAAATTGGGATGGAAGAACCATAAAGACACCAAGCTCTTGATAAGAAAATTATGAAGGCGATTTATGGTGAGATTTTGTATTAATTTCCTAATCACTTTTCCCTTTCACAATATGCATTCTTTCTCTTCAGTTTTTCTTCACTATTTAGCCAGTTCCATTATCCACATGGACATTCCAGATACTGTGGAAACGCATCACCCAAAGAAATTCCATTACGCATTGACGGGAAAAGCAATTAACGATCATCTTAATTATCTCCGTCTCCAGAAAGAGAAAAATGATAAACTAGAGAAAACATTGATTGAAATGGAGCAACGAAGACGATCAAAGGAAACCCCTGACGAATCAGGGTAGAGTTAGATGATAACCTCCTCCTCGCACGTATCATGGATTACTTGACAATACTGAGTTGTCACTGCTAAAGCCAAAAAATGAAGGAACCGTTGAAGAAGAAAGAGTGGAAGAAACAGTTATATTAAACACGAGATTTGAGAAGGAGAAGGAGAACGTGATGTTAAATTTTGAGTGTTTTTTTTTTGTTTACTGAAATATTCTCATATATTCATCGTTGGAAAAAAATACGAAGTTTATTAATCTGTTTAACAAGCCATACGAAAAACTTGAGAATATTTGAAAAATTCTTTTAGAGACAGAAGAGTGAGGCAAAGTGGGACGTCTCCAATCATCCATTTCTGGAGATCAGCAGACTCAAATTCAATCTTTTTTTTCTTTATTTCACAGCTCAAAAAAGGAGTCATGATTTGAAATAAAAGATGATTGAATTCCACTTTGCTGATCGCAAGTTTTTGCCCCCCTCTTTCCTGCGTGGAGAGAAACATGACTATTTGCTCTATATTACTTTTTTCATCAGTTTTTCATGATAAATATGTAATAGGAGCTATGATTACCGAACAACTTGTGAATTGGATTTGAAAATGATATCACGAATGTCATCAATCCAGTGTTCCATCCGTTAATATTAAGTTTATAATAGTTTGAAGAGTATATGACGTGCTATGAATTATTATTTTTGTTCCTGGTAGAACTTATCAAATATTATTGATAAGATTTTATGTTCATTATGTTGTTTGATTTAAGTAAGTCATATTTCGTGCTTTCACATTCGTAATTATTAAATAGCGAAAAGAGTAGAATATGCTCAGATATCACATTTGTATCCTCATTGTATTGGATGATATTATTAAAATATTCAAAGAATGTAAACCGTTGAAACTGAACTGATTTATTGGTATTCCAAAAATTTATTGAGGGTAATTCCAGATGAATTATTCATATATATATATATTTGAAATATATTAAAACATATATATATATATATATATTTCTTATATGTATCATATATTCCAGCATATAAATCATGTATATAAGGTCATATATATGGTTGTATATGAATCTCATATATCAGTCATATACAAAAATGGGCCAATTTAATACATTGAAAAATATATTTCAACATATATCACATATATTACTTCATATATTCTATATATTTTGACATACATTTCCCATATATAAAGATGTAGAAATTATATATGATGAATATATTTTTAACATATATTTTTTTCCATGGGGGGCCTCCTCCGCATCTCCGAATTTCAGAACTTGTGCATATCGTCTTACTATCCCGACTCCCCCCCGCCCTTCCCGTTAAGCCATACTGAGATATCACAATCAAAGACATTTTACGACCGGTATATTCAACATCTATATTATCCCCTGGGCTATTCTACTCGATCAACCTTAGATGTTTTTTAAGGCATAAATTACATGGAAAGTGGGATGCTATATGCTATCCATCGACTTTCCGGATTGTGGAGGAGGCCACAATAGCTCAATTGGCAGAGCACCTGTCCGGCAAACAGAAGATGTGGGATCATACCCTACTTGTGTTCGAGCCCGTGTGCCTCCGAATTTTTTAATTTGTGCATTGATGATTATTCAATTATTTCCCTCCTATAGAGGCCCGGAAAGTCGATGGATAGCATATAGCATCTCACTTTCCATGTAATTTATGCCTTAAAAAAACATCTAAGGTTGACCGAGTAGAATAGCCCAGGGGATAATATAGATGTTGAATATACCGATCGTAAAATGTCTTTGATAGAGATTTTTTTAAATTTATTTCGAGTCTTTTGAGGGGGTGGCCCATCAACAATTTCGGAACTAGTGCTCAACTGTCATCTTAATGGAAAGCCAATACTTGGTCTCATAATTTCTGATCAATAACAATTGTCTCAGATTCTAAACATAAACCATAATCCTTGGATAGGTGTTTGTCGACCGTGGTGAAGACATAGTTTTGGAATTGTCGTCGGCCTTGCGGTCAAATGAATGAATTTACTCAAATTTTTTTGCCGTTAAAAAAGCCTACGTTTCGATCCATTTGCGGGTCCTCTTCAGGGCTGATTTTATTGCTGTAGGTGTTTGTCGACCGTGGTGAAGACATAGTTTTGGAATTGTCGTCAGCCGTGCGGTCAAATGAATGAATTGACTCAAATTTTTTTGTCGTTAAAAAAGCCTACGTTTCNGACAAAAAAATTTGAGTCAATTCATTCATTTGACCGCACGGCTGACGACAATTCCAAAACTATGTCTTCACCACGGTCGACAAACACCTACAGCAATAAAATCAGCCCTGAAGAGGACCCGCAAATGGATCGAAACGTAGGCTTTTTTAACGGCAAAAAAATTTGAGTAAATTCATTCATTTGACCGCAAGGCCGACGACAATTCCAAAACTATAAACCATAATCTCACAAACGACCTTTATCTCTGAGACCTGGATATCAATATGAAAAAGAAATAGAATATAGAGGCGATTTTTCATTTGATGTTTCTCATATTTCCATATTACAACATCACAATCCATATTTAAACGCATTGCATAGACATATAATACCTAGACCGCGCATTCCCCATGTATCCTATGTAACACAGATCTGGGAAATTAAGCAGAGAGACACGATCCCGGTCTAACAGTCCTGTGGAGGGGGGCTAGTTATAGCTGATTAATCCCTGCAGCGCACCCACTCTCAGCACTGCTGAACAAGGATAGGTACCGGACGCATCTTTCTCTACCTATACCTATATATAGCTTCCCCCACCACATGCGCGGTCTAGATATTATTAGGTGTACAAATAAGTTTTAGGACACTTCGATTCCGTGTCATAAAAGTAATTCAAAGTTATCGCTTACATATATGGTGGGGTTTGTTATGTAGTATCAAAACATAAGGGAGTCATAAACATAACCTTAAATTCTGTGAATAAAACATGCAGACCGATAAGCTATTTATTGGATACTGCACTCGCTATGAATTCCATCAAGGAAAAACTGTTAGGAAAGCATGTTAATCGATTTGTTCTATTCCTGGGGACAACATTGTATCTAAAAGTACATGTGAGTATTGGTATAAGCGATTTAAAGAAGGTGATTTTGACGGTAGTGACCGTGAACGTACCGGGACCCCTATAAGGGTGGATGACCAGGAACTGCAAGCGTTGCTGGATGAAAATTCTTGCCAGACGGAAAAATAACTTGCAGAACAGCTTGGAGTAACTCAACAGACCGTTTCCTATCGCTTAAACGCAATGGGAAAGATTCGAAAAGGAACAAAGTGAGTGCCACACTTTTTGACTCAAGAAAATAAAGATAGCCGACATGACATATGTCTGAATCTTTACAATAAGCAACATAGAAAGTCTCTTTTGTGGAAAATTGTGACCGGCGATGAAAAGTGGATTTATTTTGCTAATCCAAAACGCAAATATCATTGGGTTAACCCCGGCGAGCCGACGACATCGACACCGAAGCGCAATATTCACTGTAAGAAGATCATGCTGTGTATATGGTGGGATATGAAAGGCGTACTGCATTATGAACTTTTGAAGTCTGGCGAGACAGTTACTGCCGATCGCTATCATCAACAATTAATGAGATTGAACCAAGACATTGAACAAAAACGTCAATTTACTGGCAAAGGAAAACGTCCAGTAAAATTGCTCCATGACAACCCCAGGCCTCATGTGGGTAAACCGGTCAAAGATACGTTAATGGCTCTTGGATGGGAAGTTGTGCCACACCCGGCGTATTCACCGGACTTGGCTCCAACTAATTTTCACTTGTTTCGGAAGATGCAAAACGAATTGACTGATGTGCGATTCAAAACATTTGAAAAAGTGCAATAATTTCCTTGCCTCGCAAGATGAAACTTTCTTTGCGGAAGGCATCCGTGAATTACTTAACAGATGGCTGAAGGTCATTCAAAATGATTGAGATTATTTTGATGAATAAATGTAGTTTACTTTTTTTCGAAAATGAATTTTAAATTTTTTGCAAAGTGTCCTAAAACTTATTTATACACCTAATATGTCTATGACGCATTGGTGGCAACACTTCGACGTTAAGTGAGGTTCAGTCGGATCAGGCGATGCCAACGTTATGACTTGATTCTGGCACTTTATAATGTGAATCGCGAGAATGTGAATATCAACCTGAAGATAAAGTGCTTCTTGCTAAAGTAGTGATGCCGCGAGCCACTTTACGAGACAAAAGTTTGGAGAGATGATCTCGGTCTCAATGAACATGAAAATCTTTGCTCTCATCTCAGTGTCGGAATAGGCAGTATCGACTCCTCTCGTGATGACTCCAAGGTAATTTACCTCATCTCGGTCTTAAGTTTTAAGTGTTTTTTAATGTAAAATCTCGGTTTTAGTCTCGGTTTATCTTGTCTCGTTTTTCTACATATAAAAAACGCGAAAAACTGGGAACTGTAATGAGATAAATTGACTCGGAGTCATCACAAAAGGAGTCGATGCTGCGGATTTTATGACTGAAGCGATACCAAAAATTTCCGTGTTCACTGAGACTGAGACACTCCCTCCAAAGTATTGTCTCGTGATGCCCCATGAAACGTCTCGCGGCATCACTATGCCAAAGAAGTGACCTGAGCCGTATGCTCTCATTCTTTCCAAATCCTCACTTATGCTAGTGCTCCCCACCACTGAAATCGAGGGTACTTCTTTAGAAAAATTGAGCATATGCGCGTATTTATTTTAATGTCAATCCAAAAAACACAGTGGTCAAACCGTTGAAAAGCTCATAGGCGAATTAAAACTAAGAACACTTGTCCGCTTCATCGACCGGTTTTTATTCTGCCGAATGAAAATCATTGAAGAAGGGGGGGGGGGGAAATCCTTTTATGTATGGATACGCGGTACACTTGGCCAGAGATATTGTATAATAGATATCAAAACTTTTCTTTGAGCAATACACTATCGCGTTTCTCGGTTGTATTCAATAAAAAACTAAAATATTAATACATCACACGGAGAGAAAAAACACGACAATCTTGTGGAAGGTTCATCGAAAAATTGGTATGCTACCGAAGAACGCGGATGCGTATCGGAGGCTATGCTAATACTGGAAATGTAACATACCTATAATTCGGGGAAGCAAGGTGGAAAATAATAGGGGGCGCCCTCCAAAGTCGCGCGCTCGGGAATTCAAAAATTGGGGCACCAATCCGCTGAAATATTCTCAAGCAGCTTCCCACTTTATGCGATACTTTTCGTGTATGGAAAGCACATGGATGGAGTTAGTGTGTCGTCACCGGTCATAGTGAAGAGAGAAAAAATGGAACCAATGAAAAATTATCAGTTTTCAACCCAAAGTGAGCTTGTGCATCCGTCCAATTGAAAGGTTGAGTAATCGACATTCTACAGTTTCCATTAATTAATTTTTCAAACCACAGACGTCACCACTTTCAAGAGGGGTCGTCTGATGTCAGACACTGACAGCATCCAGGCTTTGTGTGTTTTAAGGGTGCCACTAGTGGTGTCCCCCGCCAAAGCCCTAGGGCCAGTTGCCCAAAAATAAGGGAGAAATTTTGTCTGAAAGATTTGGGGGTAGCATATGGGACATTCCATGTCAACTCAACCACCCCGGATTTTTTTTTGTCTAGAAAAAATCATTTGATTGCTGCATTTCGAACTACTATATATAGACAGTATTCCTGCCAAATTTCATTGCCTCCTGATTTTTTGTTTCTGAGATAATGACTATCAAACTTTAAATTTTCAAAAATTCGGCTCCAGGGCCGTCCGCTATTCGA